GTACTTAGCGACGGAGCAGTCTCCGAATTTCCTGGTCACTCAGTTTGGCGCAGGCTCCGGGTCGGTGGTATTTTCCGTGCATCCCACCAGCGTGGAGAACCAGCAAGGTCGTGCACTGTGGACAAAAGGTCAAAACCAACGCTGATCTCCGTACCCTCCAACCCCAGCACCGTTTGAAGATGCCGCCCGTCCATCTGAGGCCGAGGTTGCCAAGGCCGCGGGAGGCACGTGGCACAGGCCTCTGTCTCTGCTCCAGAGACTGTGGATGCTGTAGCCACATTAGCTTCTGCCAGGGAGTTCGATATCTTGGCTTCTGGCCGCCAGGCAGCTATGAGATCTTTGAGTTTTCTTCAAGAGAAGAACATCTGTTCACTGACGTTTTTTATGATTCCGTGATCAAAAGTGCTTCCTCTCCCAGTGGTCCCTAAATGTGTCCCATTTAGCCTTGGCTTCCTGTTTCGCCTCCTCCCGCGAGCCCCAGCTACGCCTGAGGAGCTCAGGCAACGGGGTGATGAAGGGATCGTGGCCCCTTCCTGGCTGTCTCTTATCCACTGGTTTGGGCGCCTCCAGTAAAACAGCAGTTGCCTCAAAGGTACATTGCGTGTGGCTATTTTGGGGTTCATCGAATGCATCGATGCCTCCACTGTTGCCAGGACCAGAGGAAGTGGGTATGAAAAGGAGGGGGATTTAGGACACTGGAAGGCTCCCTGCCTGCCAGGATGTGGGGTCCACTGAACGCAGGATCACGGGCGGCTAAGAATATTCCTTTTCTACAGTTTTTAATTAGAACAAGACCCTTCCCTTCTTCCATTAGTTTAAGATCAAACGTGCCTATACGGAAAAGAAGGAATGACCGACGAGTCCTTTCAATAGTTTATGTGAACTTAAAGGAGCTTTGGATTTTTTCAAAAATATTCTTCAGACGGGAACGGTGCAGAATTGGAAGCATGATGAACGGGTCGTGGGATTTTAAGGGGATTTCTCTTTTCTTCTGCAGACTTCTCGACATTTTCCCAAGTTCCCCCACGATCTTTTCCTATTATCTATCATATCGACGATGAGAAAAATAATTCAAGTATTTTAAACAAAAAGTATTCTTTAGTCTTTTGAATTGTTTGTTTTTGCTATAGGTTTGTCACAAATCACAGCCCTTTCCTCCCCACATTTTATAGGGCGAGAAGGAAAACAAACAAAAGAGCCTGGAATCCTCACCACCCTGAAAACGCCATATGGTGAGAGCCAAGCACCAGAGTTTTACGAGCATCCCCTTGGGACAGGCCCGTGGGGCCCACTCACCTGAATCACATTAGACTGTCTCATCCCATTAATGAATCAACCTCTTCAGCCACCTCTCCCCCGCCGCCCCGTCCCCCGCCCCGACTCCCTCCCAGTCTGATCCTTTAATTACCATCTGCTTTTCCTGTCCCTCCAAAGTCCCTGCAAAGACACAGCATCGAGAGTCCTGGACCATCGAAGCCCATCCCGTTCGTCTTCTGTCCGCCAGTTTCCCATACGCCTTTACGCAGTGCGTGTCCTGTGAACCCAGAAGACCTAGGTTCGAATCCGCCTCTGCTACTTACGACATACGACTTTAGGAAACAGACTCATCCTCCGTGAACGTTCGCGGTCCCACCTATGAATGGGAATGCAGGCTGTGAATGTCAGGTTTGCGAAATGACGAGAAAATGTGCGAACCCGTGGCACGGGGAGCAGTCCCTGGTGGGGACTCGGTGACAGAAAGATCGATGGCTGGTCTCACCCTGAGCGGCCGTTCAGCTCTTAGGCCAGGACCTGGGGTTCGCCCGCTGGCCCGCTGGATCTTTCTACTCTTCCCCACGAGGAGCCCTCAGCAGGTTAACCCCCGAGAGGCCAGGCTGACAAGGACCTTACGCAGGTCACGACTGTCAACGCTCTGCCGTCATCTGGACCTGTGACCAGAGGCCCTGGAGGCTGAGCGTTGAGCCAGCTCTACCCGCCACGGGCAGCAGAACGGTCCTCTCTGCGAAGGCTTCGTGTCTTCCGACGGATTAGGAAGCGCGGATTGATCGACGGCTGTTTCAGCTGCTGTCGTCCCGGGGAGAGAACGCGGTGTGAGGAACGGTTCTGGCCGGTCCGAGGGACACCTGACTTCCGCGGCTGCCCCGCCGTCCCCTTCACAGCCGAAGCTTCTCGAAGGTGCCAGCTGTGCCCTGCTCTCCCAGTCCGCCCGCACCCCCACGTATTCACCTTCCACCTGCTTCTCAGCCGCCGAGTCTGGCCTCGCAGCCACCGCCCTAATAAGCCACCCTCCCCGAGGTCATAAGGAATCTCTTTGGTTCAAATTCGGATTAGCATGTCTCAGCTACGACAGCACCCAGCACCCGAAGGAGGCTCCCCGGGCCTCCCCGGCTCGGTCCCCTCCAGATACAAGTCCTCAGAGGCCCCCGGCCATCTCCCCCTGGATGCCTTGCGACCATCACACTCGACAGACCCCGACTGCACTCGTGGTCTCCCCTCCACATCTGCATTTCTTCCCGGGTCTCCCATCTTCGACTAGCATCTCTGCCTACCACGTTGCTCGCGCCAGCCATGTGAGAGTCGCCCCCAAAACCGCTTTCCCCTCGCTCCCACGACTCGCCCACCATCCAGCCGCCGGTCCCCTCTTCGCCTCGCTGCGTGCACCTGGTCTGCCACCTTCTTCCGCCCGGACGACCACGAGAACCCCTACCTTCTGTCCCCGCTTCTGCCATCACTCCCCTCCCACCCCCGCTCCGTTCCAATAGCCACACAATAGCCGGGATGTGTTTGTAATGTAAATTCGATCATATCACTCACAAGCTTGAAACCCTTTAACGATTTATCGATTTATCGCTGAGCTGAGAGATAACCTCTTTCACCATAACCTGAGGTTCAAGGTCCCCGCGACCTGGCCTCTGGCTACTTCTTCACCCTGGACTCACCGTTCAGCTCTTAGGCCAGGACCTGCACACGCACTCCTGCCCCTGACCGCTGTGTCACACGCGCTCCTGCCCCTGACCGCTGCATCACACGCACTCCTGCCCCTGACCGCTGCGTCACAGATGCGTAGGTCTCGCTTCAGTGCCGACACGCGCCACAGTCTTTCCTGCCCCGGCCTTTAAACGTGCTATTCGCTCCGCTTGGGGGGGCTCTTAAACCCAGTCTGCCAGACAACTCCACCCATACGTCAAGACCCAGTGTGCATGTCACCTCCTTTGCTAAGAAAAGCCCTCCCCCAAACTCCAAACTAAATCTGGTCCCCCAGCTTTCTTCCCTCATAAAGCCCTGCTATTTCTCATCACATCTTATCAAAATTTTATAATTGCTATCCCATGATGTGGGACGTTAGCTTTCCTAAGATTATAGCTGGCATGAAGGCAAGCGCTTTGTCTACAGCTTTACTGTCTTCCATTTAGGAAAGACACCTGGTGAGCAAAGGGGGCTCCACACGTACGAAGGGAATTTGTGCTGGCCTCGGAAATTAATAAACTTTCCCTTTGGTTCGAAAAACATACGTGGACTTCCAAGGTGCGCTAGGTTTGAGAAAAATCGGTATCTCAGAAGAATCTAGATAAATACATAAAATGCTGACCCCAGAGAAAACGAGATAGGAGAAAACTTTAAAACGATTCTAATTGATGTGCTCAGAGAGATTTGGGGAGATACTACATCCATAAAACAAAAACAGTCGCTATAAAAACAAAACTCAGGAAAAAGAAAGAGTTATTAAAAATTAAAGAGACGATCGCTAAAGAGAAAAGGTCAATAGAGCGACTCACAGACAAATTCAAAGAAACCCTCCAGACCATAGATAAAAAAGACAAAGACGGACTATTTCCCAAGCTAAGAGATTTAGGTCAATTCGGTAAGTGGACCCTCCATTTAATGAGTTCCAGAAAATAAACACGGAGAAAATAATAAAAGAAATGGCGGGGGGGGGGGGGGAGGACTAAAAAAAGAGCTTACAAAAATATAAGCCAGATCCACCACCTAAATATGGCCTAACGTTTAAAAACACCAAATACAAAAAAAAAAAAAAACACCTAAAAGTTTAGGAAAAAACAAAACCGGTTACCTATAAAGCAACGCGCATCAGATTGTCACCACTAAAACTGCGTGCTAGAGGTCCAAGCAGAGAGGAAAAAAATCTTCTTAAACCGACAACGCGAGCCAAACTGCTCAGGGGGTAGGGGAGGGAAGATTCGGAGACATGCAAAGACTCAGAAATTCGACCTTCAACACGCCCTTCTGTAAGGATCATTTGAAAGCATGCTCCAGCCGAGCGAAACAGAAATCCGAGAGAGAGGAGAAAATGGGTCGCAGAATAGCGGAAGTCAGGGGAATGGAAGTTACCAGAAGCGAAATGAAGCGAAATCCTAGAGCGACTGCTCTCCGGGGGGCCTGGAAAACGAAAGGAACCCAGCCCATTAGAAATGGACTCAGAGGTCTTTGACAAGCAGAGTTAAGGAAATGTCCTGTTAACCAACCGTTGGAATTAGAAGCTGGACGATCTAATTCGTAAGGTAAAAGAACCTGACGAATTAAGGTAAAAGAATGAGAAGAAATAAACGTAGTTAGGAATACCGGGGAAAAAAAAATTAGCGAAGAACTGTATAAAAAAGTCCCAGTCCAAATATGCAGAAACGAAAACGCGCCACGATTCTGAGCCTGGGCAGGATGTACGAAAACACGTGGCATTGAGTCTGGGAGCATCCACCTCGGAATGGAGGAGTTTCAACTACAGATATTAAATTGTTTAAGAGTTTATTTGAGTAAACGTGGGTTCAGGTCAGGCCGCACGGAACCGAACGTGGTTGGGGGGCCTGGCAGGCAGGAACTGGGGGGGAGGGGGGAGCGGGGAGCGGGGAGCGGGGAGGCTTTTATAAAGCAGACTTGGAAGCAAAGCACGGAAACGATCTGATTGGCTAAAGCTCAGCGGTCACCTCGTTGGCTTTGTGATTGTCCATCCTTAAATCTCACATCTCAGAGGCAAGTGCACTTACGGGAGCCGACTCTGGCTTGGGTTTCAGTTCGCTTGTCCACGCCTTAGAGCCTCGTTTAGTCGCTTTGACAACAGGATTGCATCTTTTCCATGGGTCTGATTACATCGTGAGGTTCTGAAGAGAATAAGAATAACATAATCATGACGTAAATACTCATTGATCTTCAAGCTCCGAAATCGGCAGATGAACAGAACGCAGAGGATCTCGTGGTAGTTACAGAACGGAAAGCCGACATTTTAAACCCCCAGCCCACAGGCGACAGACCAGCCACCAGCAGTTGGAACGCAGAGGGCAGAGAGTTCCTCATCTTACAGGGCAGAATCGGGAAAAACTGTCTGAGGTTGAGATAGCGAGGGATACGATCTTTTTAAAATGTAAACTTGAGTCTATTATTTAAAATTGCATACGCAAAGAATACGGAAAAGGAAAACTGGGAGGAAGCGTGCAGTTGCTGCAAACGAGTTATATCCACCCTTCCTCCTCTACGGTGAGAAGTCAGTAAACACTACTGAAAGTGGAAAATCCAAAAAAAAGGCAAAAAAGCAGTGCGAGAGAGTGACAGTTTGGAAATAACCACCAGAGGAACTAGAAACAGAAATGACTAAGCGCGGGCGCGGGGAGGGAGGGGGAAGGGACCGTCCCCCTCGTCCTCTGTCACCCTAGGATTGATTACTCTACGCATACATTACTTTAGTTAATTAGTGAGTGAAGATCCTGCGGACTAAGTAAACAGAACCTCTGGGCTAGGGGTGTCCACCGCAAGGCTCGGAGGGGAGGTGCTTTGAACAGGCCAGTCTTGTAAGGAACGCGTGAACTCTGGGGCACTGCCCACAGGTGCGCCCCCTCTCACATCCCGCAGACCGGAGATGCTGGCCGGCACTGCCGGAGAACAAGGCGTTAAGGGCTTCAGCTGGCCAGAGCCACGGAGGAAGGGTGATGGGCGGGGTGTGGGCCATGTGACTTATTGGTCAAAACTGTAGGCTCTGGATCAACTGGCCTTACCTGGACTGTCACTTCCCAGCCACGTGACCCCAGGCAAGTGATGGAAACAATTACTCCCATTCCGTAGGATTTCCTGTGACTCCAAGGAGCTCATTTGCGTTAAGGTGAATGTCAGCTGTTATTCCAGAGAAGCAGATTCCAGCCTAAGGAGTGCCTGAGGTCAATGGCGAATGTTCCGGAGGTCCGCTAGGTGACATCTCTCCCTCACTTCTGGAGGGACAACCTGACCCTCGCCTGGGGAAACAGAACGCCAGTTTGGGGAACGACTAACTAAGTGATGCCGATCCCGTTAAGAAAAGCGAACATTTATTGAGCTGCTTGCCCCGTGCCAGGAACTGTGCAAAACACACGCCATCTTCGTCCGCCTTCACCACCACCAGGTGAGACGGACTTTTTTATCTGTTTTTTTTTTTAATTGTGGCAAAACATACATAATAAAATTTTCCACCTTAACCATCTTGAAGCGTATACAGTCCAACCTCCACCGCTCCGTGCATCTGCAAACCTGAAGCTCCAGCCGCAAACAAGGGATCTGCTGCTTGCATTTCGCGGAGGAGGAAACTCGGCATTTACGCCGCACTGTGTGAAAATCTGCTCTTCGGCCACGTGTTCACCTACGAACAAACGGCGGTTCGGAAACAGTCCATTTAAGAGGTCGGCAGCCCAAGCCAGTCCCCAGACGAGCCAGGTCGCAAGGCCGACTGCGAAGGCCTGATGAGGTCCCTGCTCAGGGGACGGGGGACAGAGGGGCCCGGGGCGATGCACTGAGCCACGCGGAGCAGACGGGCCCCTGGCAACACAGGGAACTGACTCGGACTTTTTCGTGTCGTCAGAAAGGGGCAGAAGAATCATCCTCGGTTGTCCTCGGGCAGAGCTACAGGGGTGCATCCAGGTTGGTAGACCTGACGCGGATTCGATTTGGGGGTTCGCCTTTTTCAAAGAACAGAAATGTACAAACACAGCATTTCCCATTTCTCCTCTTCAGACTCATCTCTTCACGTGACTTTTTAGATCCTTGAGCCCAGGGGTCCCCTTCTCGGCCTAGCAGGTGGACTTCCGGGGGCATGAGGTGCATCGGGGGGCAGAGAGCCGACCGGCGCAGTGACACCCGTCGGAGTCACGGGGAGCGTGCACGTGTCACTCTGAGGCAGAGACAGGAGCGAAGTCGCCGCATCCCGTGGCCCTTGTCCTACGGCTGGGGCGGTGGCCTCTTAGGAACATCCCACGCGCACCTCCCTCCCTCTGAGCAACGGCCCCTGGGGCGGTCCCCTACCCGTCCCTGTGGTCAGTGGTTAGCGCTGCTTTTCCACCGAATCCCTCCTTACCCGCCCGGCCTCGCCCGTCACCCCTCAGCCGGCTCTGCACGCAAACGCCCCGCACAGACTCAGCCTCCCCCGTCACGCTCAGAAAATCCTGTAGGTGGAAAGGAATTTAATCGGCAATAATAAGGCTTCTATTTTTAGAGCTTCTGCCTTCTAAGCAACCGCAGCACGCCATAGCTGGGACAGAACCCGCGGGAGGGTTGAAAGGGTCTCCGAAAGGTCTTCGAGGAGAGTCCCCTGGAGCCTGCCTGGGACAGGCACTGGCATCACGCGGCTCCGGGTCTGGAGTCCCAGCCTCCAGGGCCTCTCCCCACCCCACCCACTGCCTCTCTCTTTGGGGTGGTTGCGCCCGACTCCGAAAGGTCCCCCAGCCACTAGCCTTCGCCCAGCCAAGCTCCAGGCCACCAACATGGTGATCTTCCTGACACCCAGCCCCGATCGCACTTGGAAGGCGAGGCTCGCTGTGCCAAGTGTTATGGCAAGACCGTGGGGATGAGGTTAGAGCAAGTGCCACAGGCAGGACTCGGAAGATCACAGGAGGTCACCAACATGAGTGGGGAGGTGTCGGGAAGAGGGTACAGCCAGTGCAAAGGGGGTCACAGCGCGTGGGTGTTTGGGGCCTGGTAAGTCCCAAGGAGCAGCCTGAGTGAGGAGCCAGGCAGAGGGGCCACCAGAGAGGACGGAAGGCGGGTTGGGGACAGACTGGGGGCCAGCGCCTTCCTGGTGGCAGGCGGGTCGCTGGGCGCCAGGAGCCATAGCGGAGGGCTTGGGTCGGAAGGCCCTGATTCCAGGCTGAGCTCGCGCAAACCGCAGAGGGGTGGCGGGATGCCCGCCCCCTCAGTGGGCTCGCCCGCTCGGCCGCCACACCCCACCTGCACCCCGCAGACCCCTCCAGGGCTGGGGCTGGGGCAGCGCGGACGGCGGTGGACGGCGGTGGACGGCGGTGGACGGCAGGCACCCGTCAAGTTTCCAAGCCCTTCCTCGGAGGACGGGCTCTCTGACCACATGCTTTTCCGTGACATCACTGTCAGTGACCTCTGGGGGCCAGCAGGGTGGAGTCCGAGAGGACGGGTACAGGCCACGATTCTTCGGTGGTCACAAAGGTTGGGATTGTGAGCCGCTGGAGCTGGAGAGCGGCCTCAATGGGGACAATGTCTCTGGCTGGGCCCCCTGCCCCGGGGCATCGCAGGGCTATAGTGGCCCTGTTGTCTGTGCTCCTTTTCTACAGCAAAAAGCATATTGTGGAGCACAGAGGCCGCGTGTGTGTGTGTGTGTGTGTGTGTGTGTGTGTGTGTGTGTGTGGAGTGTTAGGAAATCTCATTTTGCTTTTAGGACGAGTGATGATGTGGAGTGGAAAACCACAGCCCAGCCAGCAGAGAAGGGTGTCCGT